ATAAAATACTTACATTTAAAGTTCATTATTTCTATGTTTATTTATTCACCTACATGCCTAACACTAATAATTTTCTCTTGGTTTGAGAATTCACTGTTATGGTCTATTGGCTTTAATAAAACAAGATTAGTTAGTGGTCAGGGTATAACACCTAGCATTAATCAGCTTTTGCAGTATTGATTGTTTATACCATTTTTAAGAGGCAATGAGCCATTATATTCAGTTTAAAACTGCTACATTCCTGCAAGAACATTTCATGTGTTGTAGACATGTATTACAATGCACTTTACAGCACAGGTGAATTATGTAACAGTGATCAGTACTGTCAAAGTATTTCCTCATAGTGCAGTTCCATTGTGTTTCAAGTTAAATTACTGTACATTTTTTCAATCACAATCCTCTTATAACACGCTGCAATTTCAAAACTTGTTTGTATGTTTATTGTTATCATTAATGATGATGTGTTTTGACTGATTATATATCAAATCATAGTCAATGTAACTTAGTATAAATATGCTACCAATTTAGACAATTAATGTTACCCTCATTTAACGTGCACACACACATATACATTTGTTGTAACCGGTATAGACATAGATCTGACAAGTAGTTAAAAAGTTTGCAGTGATTCAAATGTTGGCAACAAAAATCAAATATTGAAACACTTGGCAATCAACTTCCCTTTTTTGAACTCCTAGAAACCAGGTTTTGATACTCTTGGTGGGCAGAGCACAGATAGCCCATTGTGTAGCTTTGTGCTTAACTATAAACAAACAACTTAGTATTTCAACATTTTGGTTTGTACTGGAGGTTTGAATATTGAAACTTATGTTATTGTCTGTCTCATTGGTTGTTGGAATATAATTTTATGTTGTAATAATGATAAAAGAACACAATATCATGTATAGCAATTAGAGAAAACCACAGTAAACGGAACAAACTGTCAGAAGTCTGATATACTGCGGTTTTTCACTAATTTTATGTTGCTTTTTTTGCACAAAATCAAATATAATATATGCATTACAAGGCTATACATTATCTTGATTTAAGAACTTTTACCAGTGCCTAGGGTTTGTTAAGTTATAAATATTCTAGGTATTTTATTGATCTTTCTCCCCTGTTTAATATTCATCATTGGATCATCTGTAAAGTTTTCTTCATGTGACAAGTTTAGTCTTCTGCTTACACCCTCTGCTGAAATAATCCTAGTCCAAAGAGCTTTAGCAAGATATAATTCCCATGTTTGAGCCAATATTCTGCCTGACTACATTTGTTTGCTTAAATTTTTCACTTAATTATGTGGTTGGTTATAGTTTGTGTCACATTATTGACATTTGACTTTTTTCTGTCTCAGGTTAACTGCATTCTTTGGTCCCACCTCCACATATGTAGCCTACCAGAATGTAGGTAGACACTGCTAATAATACAAATCAACTATTTCTATACCATCACAAGCAAAATATCAGACACATGAATATAGACATAACTAGTAGAGACTACAAAATGCAAGCAACCATACTATGAATGAAAGAATACTTGAATTAACTATTTTTATGAGGTCCCATATTTGTGTGATGGAAGAGCAGTTAAAGTCATCAAAAAATTGCCAGGTCACTTGCATTCCTCACTTTAAGTAGTATTGTGTGTGTGACAGCAGTGGACATAACAGATGCTATCACACTCTTCTGCATCTTGGACATTGTAATTTTTTCTGATGATTCCAGATGTGCACAATTTTCAAACAATGGATGCACCTGTATTTGGAAACTATACTCTCAGGAACATCTGTTAAACTAGCTGCTAGCCACAACAAAATATGGCAGTATTTCTGTTCTGATGTGGTCTGCTATTTGTGTAGGTTGACAGTCATAGCTGGTGGTATACAAAGGGCTGGTTACTTCTTTTTGATACATTAAATTTCTTGAGCAAGGCCTTCTAACTATCTTTGCCAATGACCAGCTTTCCAAATAAGGCAATGTTTACATGCGTGATGAGTCTCTTGCATATTCAGCCTGACTCCCAAAATGAAGGCTCGAATGTCAGGGCATCATAACTCACCCATGGCCAGCACAATTGCTAGATGTGAACTGTATTAAGCATGTGTGCACTATCCTAGAATTTTCCTTGTAATGACTGTTTTATTTTAAAATCAAGATCAAATAGATAATTAACCTTAACATATCATTTTGCTTTCCTATTCATACCAGAAAATGATCAAACCATACAGAGCCAGAAATCTGATCAGACTGTGATTATACTAAAAGAGGACATATATGAATGACTAATCATATCATATCATTACATAAAATAGTTCTTGCAGATCATATAATATCAACCTTAAGCAGGGGAGAAAGTGGATAGGTCAATGAAAACAAATAGGACATTTATATCTCAGCAATTAGCCAGAAGAAGAGAGTTAAATACACTTCTAGTCTATTTTATTTCTGCTAATGGATCAAAAATAAATAAAAGAAGTTTTCTTATAAAATAAAAGATTGTCATTAAATGTTCTTTTGC